AGCAGAAACAGAAGAAATACTTCAAAATCATTCTACTTCATCTGGATACACCTGATATTAAAGTTGGAGAAAATATGTTATTATAAAGGGGAAATTACAAACATATTTCACTTACGAATGAGGATACAATATCCTAAACAACATATTACCAGGTTGAATTAAAAAATTCTTTTTATTTATCAGATTGGCAAGGTTCAAAAACTGGTCATAGACAATGTTGGTAAGACGTTTCATTTACTCTTTGGGGACATTTTGACAAAAATCAAAATAAAAAACACAAATGTTCTTTGACTTAGCAATGATTTCACTTCTTAGAATTTATCTTACAGATATATTCATATATTGAGAGATACATTTAATTTTTTACTTTTTTAACTTGACAGATAAAATTGTACATATTTATGATGTACAACATGACCTTTGTTTTTTAAGAGATGAGGTCTTGCTATGTTGTCCAGGCTGGCCTTGAACCTCAGGGTTCAAGTGATTGACTCACCTCAGCACAGACCACCAGGCCTGGCTGATATTTTAAAATGCATACATGTTGTGGAATGGCTAAATCAAGCCAGTTAACATACACATTATCTCACATAGTTGTCATTTTTGTGGTGACAATACTTACAATCTACTCTCAGCATTTTTCAAGAGTACACTATATTGCTACTTACTGTAGTCACCATGTTGCACATTAGACCTCTTGAACTTACTCCTATGTAATTGAAATTTCATAACTTGTAAAGACCTACATGCATTATAAAAAGGTGATGTTGCAGCATTGTTTAAAATAGGTGTAGACTGGAATCGACCCAAATACTTCTCAGTATTAGACTGGTGGCTAATGAACTGATTCATCCATACCGTGGAATGCATCTTTAATACTATTGAAGCTTATCTGTATGTGCTGGTGCTGAGTGATCACTAAGCTTAGGGGAAAAACTAAAATGTTGCTTTGTATATTTGAAAGTAGAGAGGGATTATCACACATATTTGTATACTAATTAATGTGCCTAAAATTTTTGAAAGGACATGAAGAAATTATAAACAGTGTTTGCCTTTTAGGAATGAGAATGGGTATCTGTCTAGGATTTTTTTTTTTTTGCAGTTTTTGGCCGGGGCCAGGTTTGAACCCGCCACCTCCGGTATATGGGGCCGGCACCCTACTCCCTTGAGCCACGGGCACTGCCCTATTCTTTGTTTTGAGATATAATCACATAGCATGTGAATTAAAATTCACTTTTTTAAAGGGAAGAATTCAGTGGCTTTTAAATATATTCAAGGTTTGGGCAACCATAACCATTAACAAATCCAGAGCATTTTCATTACCCCCCAAATAAAGTCCATACACATTGTCAGTCACCCCCCGTCCTCCAGCCTTCTATTAATAGATTTCCTCTTCCCCTCAGCCTTGGCGGCCACTAATCTACTATGTCTATTCTGGACATTTCATATGAATGGAATCATACAACATGTGGCCTTTTGTATCTGGCCTTTCAGCTCTTCTGCATAATG